AGATGCCCTCCACAGGCCCCTGAGAGGTCTCCGAGCAGCCCAAGACACCCCCGAAGGCCATGAAGGGACAACAAGAAGACCACATCCCAGGAACCCGGTGCCTTCCCAGCCATGCTCACAGGAGACCTCGGGGGAGGGGGGGGGACTTCGCGGGGACATAGCTCGGGATGCTTTTTGACATCCCATCGGCCCACAACCCAGACACACTGACGGGATGAGCCGAAAGCAGCTGGATAAGAACACCTGAGAAACCGTTGAAGACAGTGGGAGCCATCGCTAGCCACTGCAATCACTATCACTGATTCATCCAAGTGAATTGGTGATATCGGTATTCATGCAATCATTCCAGGCGTCTAGCGAAGTGCTGAGGACCCACAAGGACCTCAATTGAACCCCGCAGGAATACACGGCCAACTGTCCCTTTATCTCCCGTCGTGATCATCATCGTCGTGATCGCCCCCGTGCTGCGGCTTCGCTCTTTGTCATGCTCACCCTCATCCTAACACCCATCACAGTCCCTCTGCCAGTGGCATCCTTACTGTCGTCGCCACCGCCGTCATCACCAGGAGGCTGGAGATCAAAGTGTCGCCACACGACCATCAGCTGCATACTCTCTCAAGCAGCCCATCATCCGCATCACCATCATCATGCTCATCGTCATCATGTCCCACATGGCCCTATCAACTAGTAGATGCTCGACTCTGCACGCACCGCGCCTGGCTCCCACTGCATGGAAACCATATCATACATACGGCTACGGCGACGGAGGGTTCATCTACACCCTTTGAGCTAGCATCCCGCCGTGCCCGCTCGGACGGGGTCCTGCCTGACAGGGCCACCCCTTCTCGAGTGGGCTGAATTAGCACCTGCATGCAGATCCCCCTGCCCCCTTGCACCCTCTTACGCTCATGACCTCTGGCACGAAGAGCCACAGCTGGCCCCAACACCATATTTACAACAGCGCCGTGGCCTGCACGCGGGGCTCTCCACACGTGCGGTTACAGCCGACTCACTGCCCAAGCCGGTCGTGGAGTTGTCAAATTCGTCGAGCAACTAAACACACGGGCCCGATGCCCGTTGCTGCCCTGTGGATCTGTAAACCCTGTGTATCGAATGCCCTCCATTCTACAAAGCCGTACGAGGCACCAGCCACATGCGGGCAAAAGCCACGCTCGGAGCGGTGACAAATCACACGGGGCCATGAGGCACAGCCACGCGGGGAAGCTGAGGGCGCGCACTCTCAGCCGACACCTTGGAACGGTTCCATCACTCCCTTCGTGCATCGCCTCCTCGTCCTCCTCGGATGCCACATCGCCTCCGACGGGCCACAATACGCCTTCAAGGCAGTACCGATGGAACCGCTGAGTGATAAATTAGCATCGGAACCTGAATAGTGCAAGTCCTGGCAGTAGATGCGGCACCCGAGTGAGATACGAAAGGGGTGACGATGTCAGACCCAGGAGAGAGGGGGTAATGATGCGGAAACCTGTATCTGCAACAGGCAGCCTCACCTATCTATGTACATGCCCAAGAAGAAACCCGCCACAATGCCCCCTGGCACGTTGAGGCGTGGTAGCTTATGATCCTCTGAGGGCACCCTCTCCCCCTCCCGGTAACACTTCGGCAACGAGCTGGGTCCAGCAGGCAGTTCCGCTACGATGGAGCACGTCGAAGCGAACTGAGACGCAGGCTGGGGAGGGCAGGCGGGACACAGGCGGGACACATCGCGGGAAGGCCAGAGCAGAATCAGAGCGTGAAGGACTTCGGGATGTGCCAGAGGCGCAGTCAGTGCGTGGGCCTCCTGGTAGCACAGCGCCGCATGCACCTCCCCCTCCTCCGGCGGCTCCCCGGGCGGCCCGTCGCCGCGCTGGGGCCCTCCGAGGCATCCAGGCGGCCCAAGACGGCTCCCAAGACGGCCCAGGATGGCCCAAGATGCTCCCAAGACGGCCGAAGATGGCCCCAGCACGGCCCAAAATGGCCTCAAGACGGCCCAAAGAGGCACCCGATACGGCCCAAGAGAGGTCGCGCTGTCGTTTCGTGAAGGATGCTCGCGTTGTCGATTCTTCTGGGTTCCTTCAACACACGACGACTGAAGAGGCCTTCAAGTTGTTGTCCCAAGTGGGACATAAGTTTGCCTGATACCGCTACCGTCTTGAATCACGGCAGCGCCGCCCTATCTCCTAGTGTAGGTGGCGTTGCCTGCACTTGATGTGCGGTAGTGGCAAGAGAAAAAGGCCCTGTTCTCCTCCATCGCCATCTGGTTTCTCGACATCCCTGTACCTTGATTGGTCATTGTCAGTCATGTCGTGGAGCTGTCCGTTCAACCTTGGCCTTGGTAGCGGAGCTGCTGTAGCCGCGGCAGCTCTGCTCACAACCGCCAACATCCACAACATGCACAAGGGCCACTACCTGCGGGACAGACCTTCCTCTCCGTCAACACTCCGTCGGGCGCGCGAGGACCCTCGACCGCCACAACGACATCTACAACGTCTACCACTACGTGTTCGACTCCGTTTCCATTCTCCCTCGCTCGTGCAGACACGAACGACCCTCAGGTCTTCACACATCCACCTCTACGCCCTTAATTGCGACCTCATTCACTATCACTCGTGGAGGCACAGATGGTTCGCAACTCTCCACAACATCCACTACTACCTCTTCAACTCCGACCTCATATACTTTCGCACGCGGAGACGCAAACGACCCGTCCATCTCCAACCTACAGGCTTGCCGACTCGCGAACCTTTCTCTGTCTTCAGCCGAACGTGGCAACACGGTAGGCACCATTTCCAACTCCAGAACTACATCAAGTATCCTCACTAACCTCGGCAGAATGCATTTTCTGGGCGTGGTGGTATGTGGACTAGTGGCACCTGCCATTGGCACCATCATCTGCCACATGAGCCGAGAACGAGAAGGAGATCAAACTAACGATCCCACATGGGATCTACCAGGCCCTGTACCTTATCGAGTGTTGATCAGGGGCGTCCATGCGTGGCTCAACATCCATTCTGGACGTGTGACGCCTTAACAACAGGCTATTGCATTGCAGCGTGGACTCCAGGGCTTGGCCAGGACTCTCTTTGGCCATGAGAATACCTCCACTAGTTACTAATTTCGGTGCAGAAGCCAACGGGGTACGAACAGATCCTATAACAGATGTTCTATGTTATCTGGCACATCGGTGCGAGAGCCTAGAAGATGCCAGACAATTCCAACAAGGCCTCGAGTTGACGGACTTCCGGGTGCAGCCGAACGATCTCATCGACACTGCCCATGCCATACGGGACATCGCCAGAATGGAGGCGGATACGGCCGCCTCCGGCCTAGACTACTTTCAACTCATATCTACTACACTCGTACGGGCTCGACGGGTTCCTCCAGGAAAAATTGCATCCCTCCTTCAGCCGTTGACGGGCCGCATGCCACGCAATCAGCAGCAGTCTGATGATCTTTTGGAGTCCTTGCGACGGCGACGACACGCATCATGACGGATGCCAAGAAATATTGCACACTTGACGGGAGGGCATTCGAGAGCTGATGTCCATGTTACGGAAGCGTGCCTACCTGGCGGATCTCCTGGAGAGCAACAGGAAGGAGCACCTGCACCAGGATCATCGTCTGCCCCTGCTGGCCGGGTCGCCCTGGGCTCCCGCGGCGCCCTGGAGCCGAGCGCAGGGCCCCGGAGTCCTGGCCTTCGCAGGCAGCGCCCGAGGGAAACCGCCGCCAACGGGGCCCGAGCCGCAGCTGGGCCCCCCTCCTGCGGCTGTCGCCGTCGACCTCCACCCTCCTCCACCTCTCACGTCCTCGATCCTCCCTCACACCCACCCCCCTCGATGTCCGTCTCCTCCTCCTCCTCAGACTCCCCCTCTATGCCTGGCATTGCTTCCGCGCGCCCGACGGTGGCCCGCGCACAGAGCCAGGGCACAGCAAGTTGTAGCCGTATGGCCAATGCCTGCCCCCGTCGGAGACAATCGTGGAGCGTGCCATGATACGAACAGCACGCGGCCGATGCTGCATCGATGCAGTCGTCATGCACCACTGCCGCAGGCCCGATTTCTCTACACGGCACCCTGGTGTATATCACATGGGTCTCTGAGTTTTGAAGATGTGCAGCAGATTCACAGAAGGAGGGCGGGCCGTCTCCAAAATGTTGATCTCTTCTTAGCGCCGCGCAGTCGTCTGGAAAGCCTGCAACAGCTGAACGCAAGAAACCCATATATATATATATATTAATATGTGGTTGTCGCATTAGCGCCGCGCTCACTCTGTTCTACAGTTCGCAACCGTGTCCAGGATTCGCATGGTCGAGGTCCCAGGAATGGTGTTCGGGCAAGATATAAGTTTGTCAGAAATCAGCAGTCATGTGGCTTCGCGGTGTATAGAAGTCCCAGGAATAGTGTTCTGGTTCGGTTTAGGATTGTCAGGACGCAACACTCACGTTGATTCACGGCGCTGAAGTCTCAGGAATGGTGGTTTGGCAAGGTTGAGGATTCTCAGGCGTTTGTTTTCCAACGGGGCATTTCCCGCCATGACAATAAAAATTCGTAGGGCCCTATGAAAAGGGAAATTGGAGGGAGGGCTTATTGCAACATCGCTGTTGCCTCTTAGGTTCACACTGGTCCTCCTCCTCCTCATCCTCCTCATCCTCCTGCTCCGCATCTTCCTCATATTCCTCCTCAGGGGCGGCGGGTGTCACATGCGACGGGAATCTCGGCTGTGCTCAACATGTCGCTACACAGAAAGTTGCGCTGGAACTTTAGCTGGACTTGCCGCAGGCAGCTGGATAAAAGCCACAATGCGCAGCATGGAATAAGCTTGCCTGGTCCAAAGGACTCGCGCTCCCAAGAGTATGTACAGTCGACGCACCCACTTCAAGCATCGCAGGTCAAAGCAGCGAAGATCGAGAACACGATCGTCTGGGAGCCGAGTCACGACGGGTGGCGGCGGGTAGACGGACAGAATCGTCGAGTCTGGCCGCATGGCTCGGCCCCGGGTCCTCAGACCCCCCCCTGCGGCGCAACCCACGCTGCAGCCAGTGCCCGTGCCCTCGAGGAGTCGTGCTCGTCCTCCGCCTCGCTCTCGCCCACCTCCGTGCTCGTGTCCGAGGTGACGAGCGCGGCAGGCTTCCTGACCTCGATCCCCTTGGCCTCGCCCGAGGACGCCGCCCGCGCGCCGCAGCCCGCGAGCGGCACGAAGGCCGGCGCCTCGCACGACAGGGCCGACGGCCAGGAGCCGCACGCGGGCGCCTCGGCGGCGGCGGCGAGGCCGAAGGCGCACCCGCCGCCAGCGCAGGCGGCGGCCACGGCCAGCTCCCGCTCCTGAGGAGAGGAACGAGGGGGGCCCAGACGTGCTCGCGTCGGGGAAGATCAAGGCGAGGGGTGCTTCGTCATTTCTCGCCCCGCCGGGTCGACCACACGCAAGAGTGAGCCTGGGCAAGAGTGACGTCTGGTGCGCGGCTTCTGGAGGGGCGCGAGGGGGCCAAACCTACGCGCGCAGGTCGTTGCTCTCACATCACGCTCAGCGACGAGTGGGATCCCAGTGAGCCCGCACCAAGGGTCCCACTGGCGAAAGGTCACTCTCACACGCAGTCGATCGGGACCCTCACCGGGCCACGGGACCGTCAAAAACTACTCGGAATGAAAAATCGGTCCCTGGGAGAGGGTCGGGACTTCTGGGGACCGCGTAGTGAAAAAATCAAGACGTCGCATGTCTGGGGGGGACCAGCACAATGGGGGGAAACATCGATCTGGGATACGGCGATGCATCGCCGCCCCCAGTTACAAACCCGCACGGCGCCTCAGCGGATTCAGCTACACCGGGCCCCTATAGGCGATGAAGGGGCGATAGGGTGTGGACACATACTCCCCTGAGCCGATCCCCCGTAACGTTGCACTTTGACTCCGAACTCTCCCCTGAGATCCGACGTTGCAGAAAAATTGCAACATCGCAAAAACAAAAAAATAAATCACAAAAAAAAACGACCGGAGCCCTGGACCCCATCTTTCTGCTTTTTCGACCTGGATCGACAAGCAAGTGAGGGTCATGGGGCTCGAAGCCTGGCGAAAACGCCCGCTGCGAACGCAAGTGCCGCGCCAAGATTTCAGGGGCGCTCTCCTGGCAGCCCTGGACGTCCGTGGCGACCGCCACCTGGGCGCCAGAGGGGTCCCACTGGCAGCCCTGGAAGTGCTGCGCGCACCGCTCCAGGGCCATCCGGTCCGTCAGACACACCGTGGCCTCGCCGCACGGCCGGCCCGGACGCAGGCCAAAGCCCACGACCAGGGTGGACAGGCCGGCCTGCTCGAGGATGGCCTCAGATATCCGACGATCTGATGCAGTCAGAAGCCCCAATAAGGACGCGCGACTTTGCTCAGGGTACCCTTGCGTCCTTGCTCTTCCTTGCTCTTGCGTCCTTGAGGTTTTCGTCGTCCGCCGCCCCAGAAATCCCAACTTCGGCTTCCAAGGGTCTTGCGTCCTTACCGCGCGTCCTTATTAGGGTTTTTGACTGTGCTTTCGGTCCTGGCGCTCTTCCTCGGAGACGTCGCCCCTCGAGGACCCTGTCCGGGGCCCGGGGCCGTCGGGACCGGATCCGGGACAAGAAGCCACCACTGGGGGAGGGGTCCGGACCTCTGCGGGGCCGCGGACCGAAAAGAAACGGATCGGCGGACGTTGGGGGCCTCGAACATGACATCCGTCAGCAGCTCGTTCGGCAGGCCGGAGATGGTCGCGAAGCAGGCGGGCCACAGCTCGAGGTGCGGCCCTGCCTCGTCGGGCAGCCCGTGGGCGGAGCAGCCCGGAGCTGCTGCCGCCCGGGCCAGCGCGGGCTCCTCTCGGGTCGGACGAGAGGGTCAGGGGACGGAAAGGTGGGTTAGGGGCAGAGGTGGGGTTGGAGGAACGTCGCTCCAGACGGCCTCTGGGAGAAGGAAATGCGAGCATTCAGCTGGGCTCGTTCCCTACCACCACCTTGGGAGAACCCCCTCTCTACGAGCCCCCGAGAGAGGGGTAGCAAAGGTGGGCGGCGTGCCCGGGGGGGGAAGTGAAAAGGGGAGGGCCTTCTCAGAAGGCTGTGAAGGTCGCGGACCTTCTGCGAGGTTCACTAAGGCTTCCCAGAAGACAAAAGAGACCTGTCAAAAGGCTGGAGGGCTTCTGAGAAGCCCCGCCGCCTCCTGAGAAGGCTTGTTCCTTCACACTTCCCCCCTGGGCGCACCGCCGAAAAGCGGGAACTGCCGAATCAGCTAATTAAGCTCGGGGAGCCTGGGGGAAGAGGAGCCAGAGGAACCCTTGCAAAAAGAGAGGAACACCTGGCAGCAAAAACGAAACGACACCGACAAAAAAGCCAGCGAGAAACAAACACATCCCCGACCGTGGGGTACCCTTTGGGGGGGTCGGAGAACTGCCACGCCCTGCTGCGTGTCGCGGCGGCGGCCCCGGCGACACGGCACGCCCTGCAAGGGATAGCAGGGCCCTCCGCTCCGCGGGGCGAGAGGCCGCGGACAGCGCCGGCCGCGGACCGCGTGTCGCGCCGAGGCGTGGCGGGCCCGAGCCAGCGGCGCGACACGCTGAGCCAAATGGGCTGACCGTATCAACTGAAGGGGCCCCGGGACACACCAATAAATACACACAAATAAAAAGGTTCCCCGTATTTTCCCATATTTTCTGGGTTTTGTCTTCCCCCCCCACTTCCCACATTTTCCAACATTTTCTGGGGGATCGCCGATTAATTGTGTCTGTGTGTTTCTTTCCCTCCTGATCAATGCTACGACGGTGGGGCGGCCCATCCGCGCGCCCCTGGCGAACAGGTCTGAAGCTGTTTGTGCCAAGGGTGGGCGCGTGACGCGCACAGCTCGACAGACGACGCGAGTACCGCTCACGCTCTTCACTGGAGGCCTCCAAAGTAGGGTCCGAGCACATGGGGTCGGAGAGTCGCGCCGACGTCGTCGACCCAATGTTTGCGCCCGCGGCTAGGCAGAGAACGGGGCAGGCGTGAAGTCGTCGACCCAAACATGCTCGCGTTTGTTTTTCAGGACGGAGGTTGCTTTCAGTTCTCGGCCTCTGGGGGCCCTTAGCGCGCCCCAAGGCCAGCAGCACTCAGGATGAGAAGGCGGTCCCAGGGAAAAGGGCGGGTCTTCCATGGACCGCGTATTGGACAACCAAGACATCGCATGCTGGGGACTCATCGCCGACGCATCGGCAGTACATCGGCGACGTCGGCGTAGAGGAAATATGGCTCCACATTGAGCCGCCTCGATGCTGCATCGGCGATGCGGCGCAATCCTCCGACCCCCCCAATTCTGGCCCTATTCGGGAGGCCTGGAAAGAGGACGCCAGTGTTTCACTGCAAGGCCCCAGACAAAAAAAAAAAAAAAAAACTACGCGCGGGCGCGAGGGAGCAAGCAGCGTGCGAGCGACGGCGGGGTGCAGCCGAGGCGATCTGGGGCACGAGAAGCAAGGGGGAAGGCGCGCGCGGGACGCGGGGCGGGGGGGCCGGAGGAGGGCCCCGCGGGGAGGCAGGGAGCCACGCTCAGACCGCGGGACTGCGAGAAACACACCGCTGGAGATTACCAGCCTGGATCATGTCCCCATCCCCATGCTGGGCCCCTCCTCATCGCGATGCCAATCTCAGGGATCCCCTTCTTTTTTGAGGGCGCACCCCTGAGATTGTCATATCGCCCTTTGGCGTGCCAATCTTGGGGATAGGGATCCGTTCGAGGCTGGTGAGGAGACCCGGCTTCCGCCCGCCCGACTGCTGCAGCGCTTTCCCTCCTCGAGCCTCGAGGCCGGGCGGCGCGCAGGTGGCGGCCGCGGCATCGGCCAGCCTCGTCATCGAGGGTGGCAGCGGCAGCCCGGGCGGCGGGGAGAGGCCCAGAGGCAGGCCCCATGCGCCGAGCGCCTCAGGATCCGGGCTTGCGCTTCCCTCCGCCACAGGCGACGAGGGCCAGCCCATCCCCTGAGATTCCAGACATGATCGCGTCGAACAAAAAAAATCAGGACGGGAGGTTTTTGGCCATTTTCGGCCTCGGGGGGCCCTCGCCGGGCCTCGGGACCGTCAAAAAACGACTCGGGAAGAAAAAACGATCCCAGGGAAGGGGTCGGGACTTCCAGGAACTTCCAGGAACCTTGCACTGAAAAAATCAGGACGTCGCCTGTCTGGGATCCTGGCGTTGCACTTTTTATCACAGCCGGCGTGTTCGCCCCGTTTCGGGGCCCGAAGACACTCACAGCTCGATCCGGCTCGAAAACCGATGCTCGAAAACTGATCGATCCGGCCCTCACGGATCCGTCCAAGGTCTCGGTCGTGGCTCTGGGATCCCACGGCCGGACGACTGCCCAGCAAGACTGCGCCGCGGCGTGGAACGGAGACACGGAGCCGCGGGGGTGGGAGGGGAATCAGTGGCACGCGCCTCGAGCCCGGGGGGCGGCGCGAAGGCAGCGGCGCCGGCCTCGGCCATCCGGCCCCTGTCGCTGAGCCGCCCGTTGGCGGCGCGAGGCCGCCGGGAGCCCAGGCGCCCGACGGCGTGATCTCTTCGACCCCGGCGCGTTTCCCTCGGCTTCGGCCCCTGCGCCCTGGTGTGGGGCCCCGGGGGCATCAGGAATGGATCCATGGGGCGGCAGACGGACTGCCCCGGGGGAAGGGATCGGGGCCCCTGGAGGCGCAGGGCGAAGAATCACATCGCTGGATGCCTGGAGGCGTGGCGGCACAGAGAGGGTGGCGCGAGCATCCGGGCGCCGATCATGCGAGCTGATGATGACGATGACGATGACGATGACGATGACGATGACGATGACGATGACGATGACGATGACGATGACGATGACGATGATGATGATGATGATGATGATGATGATGATGATGATGATGATGATGATGATGATGATGATGATGATGATGATGATGATGATGATGATCGCACTGCCTTGAAAGTCACGCATGCGTGCTGGCAGGGCCGTACCTCAGTTCATGATTGAAGAAGTCGTCGTGTATAAGTTTACTCGGGTTCTTCTGGTTCTCGGGATACCAGTGTCGTTTTCCATCTCAGCCACTCTTGTGCGGAATCTTCCCACATCTCGCCTTTCTGTGTCTTGGTTCTCCAGTCACGGCCGTGCAGACGATCTGCAGAATCACTTCGGGGTGACGGTGCGGGCCCCCTGGTCCCCACAAGAGCGAGCCGAGGAGCTCGGCCCACGGAGGGCGTACCATGCGGCTTGGCCCCCACGCCGCCTGGGATGCCAGCGGGGGGCCCGGGGGCTGACAATTTGGAGCGGCGGAGGTGACAAAAGCCCCCTCTGGCGACCCCCCGCCGTCCCAGGGCTCTCCCAGGCAACCCCGGGGCGGGGGGGGGCCGCGGGCGCGGGGGCGCCGCGAGGGTGGCGGTGCGGAGGAGCAGGCGATTAAGAACGTTCTTTCTGTAAGAGCCCGCCGCGGCGATGCCCTCCTCGGTCGTCGTCGTCCTCGGCCGTCGTCGTCGTCGTCGCCGCCGTCGTCGTCGTCGTCGTCGTCGTCGTCGTGGCCGCCGCCGGCTTCTCCTCCGCACCTCCTTCCTCCCTCCTCCCTCCGGGATCCGTTCATGCGAAAAGGCAGGCAGTGGCAGCATGCTTTCTTGCTGCGCCGGGGCGCGTGAGCCATATATCTCGGCTCCGCGGCGGGGGTCAGCTCGTGCGAAATGCGAGACGGGTGTTCTCAGGGCGAGAAGACTGGAACCAGACGCCATCTGCTACAACGCAGGAGCACGCAGGTGCGAGAAAGGCGAGCAGTGGCGGCATCGGACGGGGCGCAGGGCGATTTGGAGAACAAATCTGGGGCCTGACATCATCTGCTACACTGGGGAAAACAGTACGTGCGAGAAGGCAGCGCAGTGGCCGCAAGCATCGTCGCAGCGGAGCGAGGTTAGAGAATTTCGAAAGCCAGAAGTCATCAGCTACACTGTGAGTGTCAGCGCGCGTGCGACGGGCGAGCACTGGAACTGACTGGAGCAGTACGCTAGCAGCTGCACTGGAGGGGTAACCAACTGTCGAAAAGGCGAGCAGTGGCAGTCAGGGGCGGCGGCTGACGCAATCAGCTACGGCACGGGGGCATTAATGCGCGAGAAAGGCGAGCGATGGCAGCTTCGGGCTGGGAGAAAAAAGTAGTGGAGACGAATCTGGAGCCGAACGTCATCAGCTACATTGGGAGCGCCAGCGAGCGCGAGAAGGCCGAGCTGTGGATGCTAAAGTTAAAGCCAGACGCCATGAGCTACAATGCTGAAGCAAGTGGGCGTGGTCACAGCGAGCCGCGGCAGCAGCGGACGGGGCGCAACGTGATTCGGGACACATGTCTGGAGCACCACGTCGCTAGCTACCAGCTATACTGGCAATGGCAGGCAGCAGTGGTGGGAAGCAGGCTCCGGCGCTACTCAGCAGAATGAGCAAGGCGAAGGTGGGGCCCGAGGTCATCACCACAGCGACGGATAGCACTCAACAGATGCAGAAGGCGATGGTAGAGACCAGCGCCATCGCCGTCGCTACTCTAGCGATGGGGGCGGCGAAGTTGGAGCCGAATGCCATTAGCTACCACGTTGGTTTTAACACACGCAAGAATGACCGCAGCGAGCAACAGATCGGCGACAACGCTGAGAGCAGCTCATGCGATACAGGCAGCAGAGAATGCTGCTTTTGTTTGACAGGCGCCCTGAACCCAAGCCTTGACTCATATTGAACTTGAAGTCCGGACAGTTCCCCGCCGTTGCGGGTTAGTCTGAACTTCCTGCAGATAACTGACCTGGCGCACGATCTCCCTCTTCGCGAAGCGACTTGCGAACCTGAGACGGCAAGGCAGACTAAGGACTGAACGCCCGTCTCAGATCCGCTCGCTCCGGCACAGGGGTCGAACACTTCGCAAACGACGCCAGGGGGCCTGGGGTGTTCACCCAGTCGGAGGGCCCTCAAAACGGAGGCCGCGCACTTGCTCTTCCTGGGCCCTCCAAGCTCAGGTTCACAAACATTGCGAGGCTGCGCAAACATGACGCCGCAGCTGCATCCACTGCACGGGCGGCAGAAATACAACCTGTTAGAATTGGAACACTGGCGGGCCAGGATCTGGTAGCCTTTGTCGCAAATGCTCAGGGCAACTTCAGGAGGCTCTCCAGAGCACCCCGAGGTGCCTGGCTTCATCCCGCGTCGACGGGAACGGAGGCAAGTCGCACCGCGCCAGAAACTGGCGCACCATATCCACTCATGATGAAACTGCTCAGCCAGAGGAGGGGGAGGGACCACGTCTCTGCTGGGCGCTATGAAGTCGACCCCATCTAGGTCGAGCATGGGCCAGACCGGTAAACGTCTGGCCGCGAGAAGCGAAGAATTCTTGGCCACTCGGAGGTGCCAATCAACACTGCTGAGCTCCTGCTCCGACCCGCGAGGGTGGAGGCATGCTCCTCCCTGGCGGCCCTGTCGGCCTCGTCGCCCCCTTCTTTGAGGCTACGCTGATCGAGGAATGAATCGGCGGAATCGGTAACGCGTGCCTTGGC